TAAAATTCTTGAATTTGTTGACCTTATTTACACCAAAAGTAAGAAATAAGAAGAAGAATTGTAGTAATATTTTTAAAAATATTTGTTTCCTGTATAGATTATATATTTGCAAGCCACTGAAGTTCTTTACGACACTAACCCCAAAATTTATTTCTGTTATTATGGTTATTATTATTGATATTATACTGTTATATTACTCGAAGTATACACACACTTTATTGTCTGTGATAGACTATCTTTAGTCTGAATTTGGACCGACGACGGATTAAAAGTGGCGGGAGAAAATTTTAAAGAGCTCCATATGGGCAACAAATATTAGGGTGTTCAAATGAAGTATACGAATTGATGAGACATGCAGCACACTTAGATGTTAAAGGCGTACAAAAATTTGGTTGTAAAGCCAGAAGGAACAGTCCACTCAGAAGACGCAGACATAAATTAATATGGATGTTAATGAATTCTGGTGGAAGTGTGTGGACTGGGTACATCTGGCTCAGGATAGAAAATCTGCCACTTAATCCTAACCTGGGTTACTTGAACTCAGTCCACACAAATTCTATTCAAGATCAATTTAATACTGGCCTCACATCTACATCTAGGTCTTCCAAATTGTCTTACGTTTAGATTTTCCAATAAAATGTTTTCTGCTTTTCTCATCGTTCCATACTCTTTGCATATTGAACCTCTGCTCTCCTGCTTGATTATAAGAGCATAAATTATGGTGGTGAATAATGAATTGGCAAGGATGTGGAAGGAATCTGTCATGGCCTACCTCATATTTGCGTTTTATGCACGAGACGGGAAGATAAGATTCCCAAAGGAATGGTAGCGAGCATTACGGGAATGTGATCTCGGAGTTGAGACTGATCTGAATTTCAGCGGGACGTGTCGCCTGTAACTGTGCTGGAAGCTCCCAGCGCTGTGGCTAATGGAGCCGGCGCCGGTTTCGGATGAGACAACCGGGAGACAAACACTCGTCCGCCCGCCAACCCGACTCAAGCGGTCCGGCCACCCAGTTCGCTGACACTCGATCTAGCGATTTGCCGCCGATCATGCCCTGATTGCGTGTCAGAGCTCAACCGACCCACGCTACTTCTACGTTCCACGTGCTTGTATTTTATTAGTGTACAGGTTGTGATATAGAGCCCTGCAGTTGTTTTGTTTCCGTTTTAAAAATATCAGTCAGTCCTCCTAAAAACAAGAAAATAGCCTATAGAATAAAAAAGTCTTCGTCTTTTCACAGTGCAGAATACACTTGTCGCAAGACATCTCCGAGCTTCGTTGATCACAATAAGCACGCGTTAGTGGCCAAGCAGCTGACGAACGGGAGGGAGGGGAAGCAGTAATGCATAAAACGATTTCCCCCCTAGCCTTTTCAAATATCCCTACCCTTCTTACTGTGACTTATCCCAGGCTCGTAGATAATTTTCGTCCAATATAGAATAGATGTGTCGTGAAGGTACATGGGGTGGAGTACCTTTACTCTACATATTCTTAATTTTGGATCTAGAATAATGTGAGTGGTTAGCTTCGCCCTCCATTCGAATTTTCCCGGGAAAATGCTACGTCAGTAATTTGTCATGAGACTGAGTGACCCTTACATCCGGCGTGGATGTGGCAGGAAGGAGGTTGAAACAGGCCACGAATCAAATCGTTTATCCAGCTCGAAACCAGAACATCGATATTTTACCCTTTGAAGCTGAAATTTATCTAAATAATATTTAAGAATTTAGTCAGTCCCGCAAAGAAAACACAACACTCCATCATTACGAAATTCATCTGCTTAGTGTTATTTAACGAAATAATCGCTTTTTGCTGTAAAAGTCATACGAAACACATAAATATTAGGATTACAGACGTTAGTTTCCTTCATCCTGCATGTTTAAAACAAGTAAATATTAACACAGAATTACAAAGGGCATGTAGGCCTGTGTTTAATAAAGAATTAAGCTGAACTGTGGTGAATACCTTCTTATCGCAATGAACCACGTTACGGCGAAAAAATGATTCCTTATTGTGCAACTGGCATCTTTGTGTGTCTGAACATGAAGGCCATTGAGATTTACATAACTGGAATTTGCCTGCAGGCTGCTATTCTGTGTGTATTTGTGGGGCTACACCGTCTCACCCTTTTATTCCAATGATACATATTGTTTATCGATTTAATATCCAATAATGTAATTTCACGTCATAACTGTAACTCCCACATCTGAATCAAAGAATGAATTATGTTCGTGTTTTGAGGTTATGGTTGCCAATATTCTTAAAACGAAGCACTGGCTTGTGTCGGCTGTGAGCATCCCGCCTTGTCAAAATTGTTTGTGCAACGCAATATGTTGAACGCATCGCTTCTGTTTTGTCTCAAGTTAACCGCGTGGTAGGATGGAGAGAACTGTCAAACAGACAGTGCAGCCATTGTGCGACAGCCTCTGCACGGCGGGTTGTCAAGCCACGAGGCGCAACCGCTTGACAAAGTGAAAGACGTCAGGATTGAAATTGATAAAGTAAAAGCAGAATTTATCCTGTTCCTTAGTAATATACCGTTAACAGCTCTGCAGATTTTAAAGTAGACGACCATGTTAAAAATGTTCAGTTTGATATCAGCTCAGATAAACGGGGTTTCAGTCCCGGTAGGAATAGAAAGTATTATTTTAGTCACCACTTGCAAACCGGCTCTGTCGTCCGTCCAGCTTACTGTCCAAGGGGTACTGAGTGTTTAATGCCTTAGGTCAGAGCGACATGAACTTAAAACTCACATCTATGAATATTTGGGTCTTGAAGGACACGAATTGTCTTCATCTGAACTCTTTGCAGCCCAATGGCCCTACTTCATTTTCATTCATTGATTCACTCATTCACTCATTATGCGTCTTCTATAATTCTTGCTGTAAAATACGACTATTTCCTTAAACATCATTAACCAGTTTAGCCTTGTAATGGTGAAGTGTTTTCTTTGCGGTACACACTGAATTCTTAAAAATTATTCAGACTGTCTTCGGCTTCAAAGGGTGAAGACTCTTTGAAACATAAATAAATATTTATTTTATAGATATATCCCTCCAAACAGCTCAAAGAATTATAATTCATTGACAAATATCCGCCATTAATAAAAAATAATCAAATGCCATCTAATTAGACTGGACGTATAATAAAATATAAGTTACATATTTTGCTCCCGAACAGCCTTACAACTGTAACATTTTGTTTACGAATATTTCAGTCATTACCCCTTCTTCCAAAAGCTCTCAGTATTTTAAAACTCTGCAAGGACCTAACCTAACTTGTATCTTAAAAAACATGATACGCTCAACTCGCCCTTTACACAGATGATAAATAAACGTTGCCAACTGCTTGTGGGTTGCGGGGGGAGGGGGAGTAAATGGCTACAGCCTGCGCACTCCTTCGAACGTTCTCATCCTATATACGTTACATAAGATTAATATATAAATTTTTATATGGATGGTGGAAAGTGCAAAAATACTTCTTTCGTAAGAATTCCGTTAGAATGTACTAGGAATGTAGTTCGCTTAATTCTGATACAAAAATTTCACCCTTTTCACACTTTATATTCCACTCTTAAGTATTGTGATTAATCAGTGGATGTGTGTTTTTTTATTGTGTCAGATGTTTTATTTTGAGTGTGGTATGTTGTATCGTTGTGTCTCATTGTATTGTTGTGTGAGTGCATCAGTTCATGACGTTTGTAATACATTACAGTTATTGTCTTATGTCTAGGTGGTATTAAGTTCTTTTTTTTAAGTTAAGTACTTGAGGTTGGATGGTTTTGTAATTTATGAGTTGGTTGATTTTGAGTGGGATGTGTTGTTTTTGTTGTGTCCTTTTTTATTGTTTTGTTCTGTCTCTGTGTTGTTGTATCTCATTGTTTATTGTGTCTTATTGTTTTTGTTGTGTCCTTTGTTTATTGTTTTGTTGTGTCTCATTGTGTTGATGTATCCCATTGTTTGGGTGTCATATTGTTTTTGTTGTGTCCTTTTGTTTATTGTTTTGTTCTGTCTCTGTGTTGTTGTATCTCATTGTTTATTGTGTCTTATTGTTTTTGTTGTGTCCTTTTGTTTATTGTTTTGTTCTGTCTCATTGTGTTGATGTATCTCATTGTTCTGTTCTGTCTCATTGTTTTGTATGTTATTGTAGGACACTGCCACCGGGTATAAACCCATTTGCAGTCAATAATAAATAATAATAATAATAATATTTCGTAAACAGTGCTACTGCGTTCTATTTCAGGAACCTCTGTTCTATTATTTTTATATCTGCATGATAATTGTAATATTAGTTAATAATTAATACCTTAATTATGAAGGAGAAAGTAAGAAAACATACATATTTTAATTCAGAAGTCGGCAGCCTGCTGCCCGCAGACCGCATTTAGTCCTCGAAACCTTTATATTCGGCCCATAACGTGATTTGGAAATTAGCCGGGGCGACTACAATATTATTCACCAGAAATGTGTGTTCTTGAAGTTACAGGAACATAGTTCCGCTTACTATTCACCACATAAGTAGTTATTCTACGTCCGTCGTCGAAGATATGAGCAGCCACTGCGTTCCGCGGTGGCCGACCCCTGCATTAACCCATTACATGAAAAACTCAGATTTCAGGTTATCACGGCGGCTAGTATGAAGATGGCTATCTTCTGGGTTCTTGCACCGCGTAATCTGGTATAATTTTACCGACGAATTGCCCTGATGAGAGGCTCAAGCACGTCTGAAACGTCGGTAAACTCCTACCAGACTACGTGGCACAACAACCTAGAAGATAACGATCTGCATTATTATTTTCAGGTTCCTATGTAAATAAACCTTTGTAGAACGTGTTTCAATTAAAATCTTAAATGGTAATACATAAGTTATAACTAACCGAACGTAATATCATAAGATCTGTATCGACTATTATATGGCTGGGTCGAGTGGAAGTTACCAGCAGCGCCACATATATTGCGCGACTGGCCATCTTGTTTGTAATCGTTTGTTGTACTTACCCTGACTCTTGCCTCCGTGAGATTGGTCCACATTGCGATCTCTTCGCGTGTGCTCATGTCAGGATAGCGGTTCCTGGCGAACGTCGCCTCCAGTTCTTGCAGCTGCTGAGACGTGAAGTGTGTTCGCTGTCGCCGTTGTCGTTTGTTCTTCTTGTCGTTCTTACTGTCTTCACCGCCTCCGTTGTCCGCTGAGTCAGCGCCTGCCTCAGTCTTCACCGTACCACCCACGATGGGTTCCACTGCCAACACGCGCCCTCCTGGAAACAAGAAAACCAATTCAATTATTTCAGTGTTCCCCCAGTAAAGTGCCCAAGTCGCCAAGGATATGCCATATTTCAGGCGATTAAACGTTGTCTTCTAATTCCGGAGGCTACTGTTCAGTCCCAGGACAGCCCCATGTGAGATTTGTAATGGCAGAGTCGTACTGGTAGTGATTATTTTACGCGTATGTCCTTTTTATTCCGTCACCACCATTCCAGTAACGCTCCACACGCTTCTATCATCATCACCGTCATAAGAGGTCAGTGTATTAGGCCCACATAAGGCCATAGTGCCAACAAACTCAAACTTATCTAATTTGTAAATAATAAAATAGTCACCAAATAATTCCATGGTACGAGATGCGACTTGAGCAGTTGAGTATTAGAGAGCTCCTAAAAGGATTACCTGTTTTCAAAGAACCCGAATTTTCAGTCCCGCTCATAAACTTCTGTAATCGGACTTAAAATAAGAGATTAAGTCAGAAATGGATTCGAATCTGATATTACAACCTGCCTTGATTTTATAAACTTAATCGTTACCGTTAATCTAATTTGTCCAAAATCCTTTAATTTTGTTGCCTAAGTTTCACGGGGACTTTGGCGCCTTTTCGTTAATTGTGTCCTTCAGCTAAAAATCTACTTTGGCTGTCATTTTACGTACGTCCGTTACTCACTGTCATTAAATTAACCAATGTAATTTATAAATAATAATTTTGTAAACCCTATGTAGACCTAGTCGTGTTTCTTAAAGAAAGACTATATAAATTTGTTTCTGTTGTAAAATTAAAAGCTGGTAAGTGAGAGATGGGTGTGTCCATCTAGTTTTAGTGGGACCTCGGATCGCATTAATATAAGAACGACCTTAATTCATTGTTGGAAGGAACTGCTTTGCAAAAGTGGCCTGAGATGACGAATGAAAAAATAAACTAAGATGAAATTTCTTGTCTTGACCATCTAAGTGACTATCAGCTTCTTAAGGACTCCACCCCGCAAAGCAAGTTCCTTGTTCATCTGAGTAAACTATAAATTTATTACTCAGTCATTCAGTTTAAAACAAGATTTTACCCTTTGGTGGTATGTCAGATCAAGTTCAAAAGACAAATATGCTAATTGAATACAAATTTTCTTGGATATTATCCATCGTCTAGTAAACATTTACTAGACGATGGATAATATCCAAGAAAATTTGTATTCAATTAGCATATTTGTCTTTTGAACTTGATCTGACATACCACCAAAGGGTAAAATCTTGTTTTAAACTGAACTAATTATACTGCCGAGTGTTCCTGATACTGCTGGCAAAATGAACTTTGTCTGTCAAACTAAAACTCTCTTACTGTCTTCCTCTCCTTCCTGTAGTTCCATTTGCTTGGAGTAAACGGACCCAGACCGAGTAATAACACTGCTACAGAAGTTAACGAGGTGAACACAGATAATCTTGGGGTTGTGGATCTATTTCTAAACGACCCCATTGTCCCTGAACGAGAGGCGATGGTTTCCAAGATAAATGACATTACCATTAACAATACAGGGCTGTACTGGAAGGGTTGACAGTTGGGTCAACATCTGGCCTAACATAACCTGCCATTTCGCGTTTCTTATTAGACGTCGGTTTGGTCCATGTGTTGAAAGAGCTTAGATTGATCACAGTAGATAGGACAATGCTTGTTAGCAGGCGGGACGGATTGCTCCGAATGGATGAACACTGTTCAGAACTGGGACTCCGCCGAGGATTTACTGAAATACTTTTGACTATAACGTATTTCGTAATCTTCTGTTTCTCCAGTCCCTTGAATCCGAAGCTAGCCTAAATAATATTTAAGAATTCAGTCCATACCGCAAAGAAAAAACAACACTTTACCATTACAAAGATTATCTGGTTAACGCTGTTTAAGAAATTGTAGGCTGTTTACAGCGAAAATCGTATAACAGCCACAAATACAGAATGCAGCGTCTCTGATTATTAAAGCCGGTGGTTTATAGTTAAGCGGAAGGTAGTAAAAGATTTCTTCTAAGTGGAGGCAGAAATATTGGGATTCGGTGCGTGGCCTCAGAGGCCTATCATCTTGCCCTTTCTAATTTCTATATAGTTCCTTAAATGAAAAAGTATAGATACAAGGAAACATTTAAAATTTTCAGTCCGTGTTGTATGCTATGCCTTAAAATTATGTATACCAGTATAAATGCTTTAAAATCACAAATAGATTGGCCGGACGAGTAGCATGCGAAGAAGAAGTGTATAAAATTTGGTTGGAAAACTAAAAGGGAATATACTTTCTGAAGGCTAGGCATATACAAAGCTCGTAGTACAAGTTTACATCGCAGAAGCGCTGAGTGAAAGTACCAATTGGACTGAGATGGCTAGGAATATGGTCCAGTGAACACGGTAGATTTTCGTGTCCCAGAGTAGCAGGGAATTTGATTGACTGAACGCTATAGGCTTGTAAAATAACATAAAGAAATTAAATTATAAGATATGGTACGGAAATAAGGAAATTTTATAGGGAATAGCCGCTTGTAATCCAGTATGTGTTGACGTGTGAACCCTTGGCATTTCTCATGAGATCGTCTCGCTCCTACGCTCCTGCACAATGAGAATAGGGTCCCAGCGTCCGTAGGTCTACGCTAGGTCGCTGCTGGTTTTTTCAGGATTGTCTTATCTTTCTTTGGAAACTGATTGGCGTTTAATATCTGTTCTCCCGCGGAGTGATACGCACAGGAACTGCCGCTTGCAGAGAGACCGCCTGTCAGTTGCCTGAAGACGAGGTAAGATTGATCGGGCGGTAACATCACAGAACTGATAACCTGTGATAGCATATGCTTGTTGCTGCTGCTGCGTGGTAAGATTAAAACCTCGCATCTCACTTCGTAAAAGGTGTTACGGCTAATCACGTGTTTTTTATGGTAACAAATGTTTCTGTGTGGCCACCTAAAGGCAAAGTTCAATCTCATGGACAGACAATGAAGAAGGGATAGATTCTTATCTTATTAAACGACGTTTGTCAACATAAGATTATGTAATTTCATGGCCATATGATGCGATGATGGTTGTGGTTAATAGATTCTTAGGTTATTTAGCGAGTCTGTACTGAAAACGAAAAATGCAGAGTCGAATGACGAAGGTCAGATGATAATGTAACTGAAAGTGTGGATGGATTTGATGGCGGGATGTTTCAAGGTCGTGACACTAAGAGTGAACAAAGATGCAAGAGTCAATTGAATAAAAATTTACTTGGATATTATCCATCGTCTAGTAAATATAAAACGTAAAACGACGTTTCGGAGATGGGACTCTATCTCCGTCTTCAGGTTCCTACACAGTTGGACCCACTAGATAGAGCTAATCCCTATCTCCGGAGATAGAGATTTTATATTTACTAGACAATGGATAATATCCAAGTAAATTTTTATTCAATTGACTCTTCACCATCGTCAAGAAGTTTTAGATTTGATAAAGATGCAAGAAGTTGACATTGCTTCACGAAACTTTATATTAACTTAGCGATAGAAATGAATGATAATGACGAAGCTTCAGTAGAAATCGAGGATTTATGCTTCACCGTTTTTAAACATTAGTCTATAGCCTTAACAACTGTGAAGGCAATGCTACCAACAAATTAAAGTTGACACTGTCAAAGCGGTAGAAACATTACGAGTTATGAAGAGGTGAATTTCACTAAACATTACGGATAACGTTATTACAATTTTTAATCCCAGTGATAACTATATGCACCACCTACTTTAATAATTAATAACTTATTTTTTATTATTGGGTCTTGTATGATTCTTAATGTAAAGAGATTATTTTCTTAAACAGCATTAAAAACCTGATCTTTGCAATGGTTTTGTTGTGTTTTCTTAGCGGTACGGACTGAATTCTTAATTATTATTTAGACGAATTTTGGCTTCAGAGGGATAAAGTTCAATCTCCAAAACAGGTTTTTGGCTTCTTAGTTTGTTGACAGTGGGCATGCAGAATTGCAATGGACGCGTTTGAAAAACTTGCAGGGGCCTGCTCCAGATTGGTACACGTTAAGTATTTTTCCTCTCCTAGCGATAATATTATAAAGTGACAGTGACAATAAGACGCTAAACTACGAAACTAATATTCACTATCGTGCTTTGTACAGATTTCATGTATCCCATGGTGACATATTTTTTCATAATAAATTCTTGCTTAGTGCTTGAAGACTCCTGATGTTTGTGTGCGTGACTATAAAATTAACAAAATTCTTGTTGAACTGATATGATACCTTTCTACAGTTGTTCACTTCTGATAGGCTGTATCTTAATTAAATGATAAGGGCTTATCTGAAAGGTATTGTGAAACCAATGTCTAAAGTATTTCAAACGAATGTAGGCTTCGCAACCAGTTAAAAAAAATGTTATGATGCCGAATTAGCTTCATTCTTGTTAAGGAAACCTGAAATTAAATTGCGAAATCTAGTATTGATGGAGAGTTAGTCTGTATAAAGTGTTACTTAGTCGAGAACTCGATGCTTCTCTCCTGTCACCTTAACTGTGTTTAATTTAATAGGCCCATATGCATGCATGTATGGGTGGCCAGTGGCCTGCCATGTTTCGCCCTGCCTACACCGGAATCAGCATGCTTGTCCCTCAAGTAATCTGTACCTGTAAACCTGTTACCATATCTTCTTGGAATAAAATGATCTGTGATATAATTTTGTTTTGTATGTTAATGCAATGTTTTACTAGAACCGCTGTAAAAATCTTAATGGATACACCCTAGTGCAGAGGTTCCCAAAGTGTGGGGCGCGAGTAGTTTTCTGGGGGGGGGGGGGTTGTGTATGAAAAACTTTTTTAACGAAATATGGAGAAACATTTTTAACATCCTTCGCTTGATTGAGGCAGTTCAGCAGTAGCAGCCATCAAAACAAAGTATCGTTCTACGATGAACCTTGAAAACGACCTTAGAGCGGTCATTTTAAAACTTCAACCTCGGTATGATAAGTTATGTTCACAGAAGCAACCACATCCATCCCACTAATCCAGGTATGAAGCGTATATCTTATTACAGTTTTTTAAATTAAATGCATTGAATAATATATAATAAATTATAAAAAAATGTATACTCATAGCTAAATTTTATGTCAAATCTGTTTGATTGCACTTGTTCTGGAAGGGGGGCGTGAAATTTATGAAATGTTTTAAGGGGGGCGCAAGGTATAAAAGTTTGGGAACCTCTGTCCTAGCGTAATAATTGTTTATTAGTTTATTAATATTATTTTTGTCACTAAATTTTTTAATTTTTTTATTCTTTGAGTTTGTCTGAGTGTAATAGTCCCTTCATTGAGTGCATATGTGAAGACACGATTTTGTGCTTTTATCGAATTAGTAGCATTTGTGAATTTTGTTGGATCTTAAACATTCATTCGAAATAAAATTTTCCACGCTTTATTATTATTATTTGGTATTATATTTAAAAGAGTATACTGTGTAATGCACCGTATAACTGTTAACTATTAAAGGAATACAGAAAAGACCTTTTCAAAACATCCCTTGGAAGAAAACGTACATTGTTCTAAAATTACTTCTTGTGTACCGTGTTACACGAAAGATAATTCCACACGTTATTTTGTTCCACTTTGCGTCAATGATAAGGAGGCTTTGAGCTGATCGTGTTTCAAAATTTTTGTTGATAATTTTGTGTGTTACTTGCGAAAATATCTTTTGCTGTGCCGAATTCATATTACATGGCAAGTAGACACGGTGGGGATATGTATTGGTTAATTGACTATCCAAGTACATTTCTTTTCAGTCATTCTCTAGGAACATAAAATTTTCTTTTAAAAATAATTTTCAGTTTTATGGATTTTATGCCTTCATCTAGTGAACATCAAGGTTACTGCGTTTTACAAAGTACAGGGTCCATTCTCATACTACACTATTCGCCCAGTTTAATACTTCCATACGTACCTCTGAGCGAGTTTAAGTGGTGAGAAATATATCCAAATTATCTGTCATAAATAATGAAATAATTATAAAATGAATAGTGAAAACTTCGTCCTTTAGTTGTACACATCTACTAGCTTGTTATTAATTTAAGTGGCGTGAAAAGTTTCTAAGTAGTTTGTTAAAGATTTATGAACAGAAGTGTTAGTTGTAGTTATGTAAGCGATACTGGGATTTGTACCATGTTGGCAGCCTAAGTTAAACGGGATTAGCGTAGAGAAGTTTCTTTGAGCCCGAGACTATAAATACAGCGTTAGCTGGTAGAAGACAGCTTCTTCGCTCACAGTCTTTCGTTCATGTCTTTAAGAGCTTCAGACTACGTGCCAAATGTATCATACGATAATTTTGCCTTAGTATGGAATAAATATGTCTGTCAACTGTAATTCTGTTAGTGGTACTTAGTTAATCATCAGGGACAACTATCCTTTTACCAGCGTAACATCTTTGTTGGTTATAACATTGAAACATTAAAGTTAAAAGTAATTAGAACTGATTGAAAAGAATCCTCATATAATCAATTTGCTTTTATATATAAATTAAATTATCCCGAAATTTAGATTTCTGATATTTTGTTACATTTCTTTAGCATGTATCTTTTATGCATTTCTTTAGAAAATATCTATTCGATATCACAGGCTGCTGGTGTAGAATTGAAAATTTTCTGGAAACACCCTGAATGATTGAGTTGGAGTGGGGGGGGAGGTTTCACATGAGGAACTACGTCAGACAAGTGGTTATTCTCATCCCGGTCGAGCTGTCCGTCGACCGCAGTTGGAGCACCAAATCCGGATCGTGATCTTGTCAAAGAACGAGAATGTAATTTTCATTCCACCGTTCGAAGGGTCCAGAGGGAAAAGGCTTAGGGAGATACCTCTTCAAACATGAGCGTCGGAACGATTTTCTGTGTGTTTTATATCTGAAGTAATAGGAAATTAGATTGTGTTTGGGTGCGAAGTACTGCCATCAGGGTGGGAGCAGAGAATTGTATATTACTCAAAGATCCCTGATCCATAAAAAATTCTTATTTTTTCTTGGTGACTTTGGAATGGAATCTGTGCATGTAATCTATCAGTACCGATCAATTTTAAATACTTGACTATAACCGACGCAAAATAAAAAAGAAATTACCGTAAAGTTAAGAAGAATGACATTTCTAAACATTCATATTAGAGATACACGTCTACCATTTTGTTAATTTATGTAATGGTTATTTCTATCAAAATTTCGCCAATTAACCTGTTATTGACTGATATTTAGTAGACGTATATGTATGCGGGAGTTACACAAATTAATAAAAGAAAGTTCGATCATGTTCATCCTTTAAAACGTTAAGAGATCGGGCGGTTTCGAAGCTTGTTAGCTTTAACTGTTGTTGTACTGATTCTGAAGGCTTCTTTATGTCCTAAAATGCATTTCTCTAAAGCCTGAATAGAGCGTCTCTGTACTTCATAAGTCCGCCGTGGAAGATGAGCTCTCTGTAAACCGTCTTAGTTTTGAAAGGGGGAATCTGGTATCTGTTAAAATGGCGTTGCAACGTGCAGAATTCTTAAGATATGTGACAGTATTTGAGGGAAATAAATTAATTACATTCGGCACGAAAAATCAATAAGATACTTTTATTTTATTTATTTTTTGTTATGAGCTGCTTCAAAATCAAATTTAATTTAGCCCTAAAATTATGCACGAATAGAGGATGAATAAACCGATTAAAAGGGGCATTGGATGGTAGAATTTTTACACAATAGGCCTTTCTTTTACAAACGTTCATTGACTGTTTAAGACCCAGCGGTAATTATATGTACCACCTGTTGCAACAACCAGTAACACTGCTTTGTGCCCACACAGCTAAATTGTGGATTTCATTCGATTCTTAGAAGACACAACATTAATCAGTCTTTGTTTGCAATGGTGAAGTGCTGTGTTTTCTTTGCGGTATGGGCTGAATTTTTAATATTATTTAGAATAGGTTCGGCTTGAAAGGTTAAATACGAATACTGCACTACCTACATAACACACACCAGTGATTAATTTACTTTTTCTTAAGGAAATATGATTAACACTAGGATTACAATAGTCTGTTATTGATCAACACAGTCTTCATTTTAGTGGACAAGTAGCTTCAAGAACCTGTCTCATACTCAGGCTAACAAAGGTTAGGGCATCGTACCTTTCCTGTCCCGAGTTCTACTCCTGGAGGGGAATGTGAGCTGTGTGTGGTCCATAGCCGCGACGGCCATGGTGTGGGCATTGTCGCGGAAGTCACCGGTCTCCGCCCACACTGCGAACAGAAAGCGTCCAGTTGTCTCGCCGATATCAAACACAAGGCTTAAAGTTACCATGCACACACAGGATTACGAAGTAGAAATGGGAACATGCAGACTAGAGCCCATATGCACGGAGTGGGCGGTAGAATTCACGATAGGCAATAGGTGAAATTAAAAGCTCTAGAATAAATAAGTAAATATACATATATTTAATAATAATAATCATGTAACGTTTTTAAGATTTAGAAGAAAAGAAACTAAAATCTGTATCTACAAATGTGGCACAATGGTAAGACCTCTGAGTTCTTCTCAGTACTTCCACGCAAATGCTCATACTTTGTTGACGAACTATTTCTACCGTGCCGTCTGCTAATTCGATTTTATTTTACCATAAATCATTCGACGTTACATAAATCTTATTATTTGATACAGCATATTAAAATAACAGCATAAGACTCTGCTAAATGAGCTTGGAATTTTATTGCAAGGTTGGAAAACTGGCGTAAAAACTTCTAAAACGTGCAGTATTTTTCAAATTGTGAACATAATTGTGAGTCCCCCTGTGTTGTACCTGTACACCGTGTTACTGCTACAGTGTGTTTGCACTCTGTCCCACGCTGTAAACCGCTGTGTTGATTATTGCGATGTAAACATGTACGACTGGGGTGCCATGTTTGCTGAGGCAGAGTCCTATCTTGCTGCTAGGAGCACTTACCTGCTACATCAAGTACTATGGCGATCGACTGTCTGTTGTATCCCTTTTACACGCACACAAATTCTGCATTGCCGAAAGTCACAGTGTAGGAGTGGACGGGTTTAACACTTACAACGCGAATTTTGTGATTTCTATTACAATATAGCACCATCTTCCTCTCCTAAATTGCTATGGCGTTGGAAAATATATAATTTCGTGGCTAAAGTACTGAAAGAAACAGTTACGCGTTAAATTTTTCAAGAGAGGTTTATTTTCGTCGGATACAATACTGCGTCGAAATGACGCAAATGAGAAATTGTGATACAGCAATGACATAGATCTAGTTGTAATTTATAAAGTACAGTCGGTTACTCAAGGCAGCGAACAATGTTACTCTGAAGATTTCTGTCTTCTGGGTTGTTGCGCCGTGTAGTCTGGTCGATGTTAACCAACGTTTCTGAGGTCATACTGCCTCCGTCATCAGGGAGATGAGTATGAAGATTTCTGTCTTCTGGGTTGTTGCGCCGTGTAGTAGGGTAGATGTTTACCAACGTTTCTGAGGTCATACTGCCTCCGTCATCAGGGAGATGAGTATGAAGATTTCTGTCTTCTGGGTTGTTGCGCCGTGTAGTAGGGTAGATGTTTACCAACGTTTCTGAGGTCATACTGCCTCCGTCATCAGGGAGATGAGTATGAAGATTTCTGTCTTCTGGGTTGTTGCGCTGTGTAGTCTGGTAGATGTTTACCAACGTTTCTGAGGTGTTTACTGCCTCCGTCGTCAGGGCGCTGTGAAAACCTCAAGTCTTACAATCATACTCTATTCGTGTTCCTCCATCTTCAACAGCTGCTTCTTTATTTTCACTCTTCAGCTTGTGTTTTCTGTAAGACCTGATACGCAGATTACAATTTTGTTCTTCTGCTATCGAAACTTAAATACGTAGATTCATATGAGTTCACAGAGTGCCTTGTTGTGAACAGAACTCAGACATGTGTCGTACAAGAAGTGTCTCTGTACGGGACATGGTTCTGACGAGTTTACAACTGTACCACATCAGATTTCGTGATCGTGTTTATGAGAGCTGCACATGACACTGACGTAATTTCATTCTAATTTTACCATCTTTCGACGTTGTAGCCAATTCTCTAACGTCACAATAGCAGTGATCCAACGTACTGTCATTATGTCAACTGCATTTTGTGTATACCCCATTGCATTCTACAGTAGAGACTGTGGGCATTCATTGTTACATGATAATCCCCTGACAGTCTTTCTTCTCGCAGTATCATGTATTATACATCAGACTGTTTTTGTCGGTTCGTTGTATCCAGCGGCATATTAATTATTTGTTAATATTCGTCGTGTCTCTTGTATTATTTACGCACCAACTTCACCTGTCATAAAATCGGGGCATGCCAAGTTTTATTATGGGCCCAGAAACCGAATTCTCTTTCGTAGTTTTTTTCAGTCCTTCCAGCAAAATCTAGGACCTTGAGATAGGCCACGACCATTTCACTACACTTCTTTTCTTCATTTATCTGATCAGGTACAGGCCTATTTACTTTTGAATATTGATTCCATAGAACCTGTGCGCTCGATACAGGATCATGTAATAATGTAGGTCCAGGAGTAAATAAGAATTTTTAATATATGCTAAAAATTAATTCTGTATAAAATCTCTTGATAAATTTCGCTCGCAACTAGACCTATTGCCATGCTGATATTAAAATAATCTAGCTGCATGGAAGTCGTCCTTATTCTCTCGAGGAACAGCGTCTAGAAGGATAACGTAGGTAGGACATTCAGGATTTTTGGATTTATTGATTGTCTAGCAAAATATTTGACCTTCTTGTGGGCTGGTTATGTATAGCTGGAATGGGGAATATAAGAAAATCATACAGAATTTCGGTGGGGAAAACACTTTAAAAGTAATAGTAGTGTTAGTGGAATTCAATATTGTAGTTTTTATAATCTCGTGTTAAATGCATCAAAATTGTTAATTAGTAAACTAAAAAAAAACAGAAAACTTTTGTAGTTAAGACGATTTGTTGGCCTTTTCCGGCCTCAATCGTCGATGAGTATATTAAATAAAACGTAATATTTCTACCATTTCTTAATTCCCAGTGGCCTCATCTGCACAGTACCATGGCTGTCACAGAAGCGTCTGATAATAATCCACGTAACGACAAATCTTTCGATATTTTTCTTACAGTGCGCACCGTTTAAAGTGCAAGTATTCCAGAAGAAAGGATTGTGACGTATTTTGCTTGATTAAAGCTATTAATGTAATGGCAAAGTCGTCCCTGGTGTTTAACTAACACCCACAATGCTTTGTGGTTGGGGAGGGGGGTGGAGGCATAGCTCGACACTACATGAGGGCATGACGTGTTTCCCACGAGGAAAGAGCCTTGGACCAATTCGATAGGAGGCTGGGTAAGCCGTGAGCTAGTTTTGACGTTATGGTAACGAGATTTTTATATTACATATGCCACTTAAAATGTTATCAATTAAGATACACAATTTCACTGAAAGAATCGGACAACGTGGATATGCTAAAAATAAATTTCTCCTTGTTTAGTGATCGTGAGGTTAGAAGGTCAAGTGTTGAACTAATTCCATGGGAACTCAAACAGTTGTTAGTACGTCTTCCTGTTCGTCAACAAGCGTGTTATAAGTTCGTCTAGAGACTGAGGCCCTCCTCACTCCACTAAATCTGCTTGTGTCTTCACATTCACAAAACCGTATCCAACCCCCCTCGCCTGTCTCAACTAAAATATTACTTCCTTCTCTGAAGAATTGCTACGAAAATGCTTGTGGTGTCGCATTGACTATTGACGTATGTCGGGAACATCTGTAAGATGTATTCTATGTAACAGAACTACTTACATATATATCGATTAACTATGTGTGTCAGCAGTTTCGGGGAACCGAAACATCGATACAAAATCTACACACAAAGTTGCCTTATTAATAGATATCAAAAGTAATTGTCCATTGCGCGGACAATTATATTTTTGGAAGGATTATGCAGTGTCATATTTGAGGTTCTCACGACTGCTTTGTTATTCTGGGCTTCGAAGCCGTGTAGACTCATGTCAGATACCAACATATCTGAGGAATGTTGTGTCCATCTTCAGGGCTAAAGCAATTGCTGAAGATGGACATGGCACGTCCCTCCGAAAAGTTTGTACTTGCATTCGGGTCTACATGGCGTTACTATGCAAGATAACAATATAGACAAGATATGTTTAATTGCGCACAGTGTTACTAAATCTGGTACCTTGTATCAAATAATTTGTCACATAAAAACAAAGCTCTTTGGGTGGCTAAAACTGAAAGGTCCAAAAACAAGCATTGGAAAGCATATGCAAATTTATTATCTTTAGTGCAAAAGTTATATTTTTCAATGGTCACAGAGCTTAATGTTATCTCAAAAGTTTTCAGTGTCTGTGAAACTATTATCGCTGCTTCAAAAGTGATAAATTCGGTGCCGTGTCTGTAAAACTTAGCGTCTTCACAAGTGTAAACGTCATCTTGTAGAATTTTCTGCCATACGCCCTAAAATGAGAAGTCTCGCTATTTTTAAAACTTCCTATTAAAGGTATGAATTAGATAAGTTCTAATGTCTGTGAGATATAGGCTATACTGTCACAAATTAGAGGCGTCACAGCGGATGCTGGGGAAGAGGTGAAACAAAGAGGCTTGATGAGCGAGCAGTAAGCAAAATGATGTGGTGTAAAATGCCCAAACACCC